GCCTCTTTTAAAACACTAAGCAGAGGGGCGCCTGGGTGGCTCAGTCGGTTGAACGTCCGACTTCAGCCCGGGTCATGATCTTGCGGTCTGTGAGTTCGAGCCCCGCGTCAGGCTCTGGGCTGACGGCTCAGAGCCTGGAGCCTGCTTCCGATTCTGTGCCTCCTTCTCTCTCTCTCTGTCCCTCCCCTGCTCATGCTCAGAAACAAACATTAAAAAAAAAAATGAATGTGTTTGAAGACAGAGCCTGTCCCGGTCAGACTAATGTTTCCTGATGGTGTTTTCACTTCATTCCTGCCAGGTCTGTCTTCCAATGTTGTCCCCATGTACCTGGGAGAGCTGGCCCCTAAAAACCTGAGGGGGGGCCTCGGGGTGGTGCCTCAGCTCTTCATCACCATCGGCATCCTCGTGGCTCAGATCTTCGGCCTTCGGAGCCTCCTCGCGAGCGAAGAAGGTAAGCTCAAGACGCCTCTGGACCACATCCCTCTTTCTGCCTGGACGTTTCTGTGGGCTGCTCTTTCCTCTCCAGTCGTGTCCAGGCAAGTGTCCTTGCCTCACTGCCCTGGCCCCATGGTGCTGGTGTGGTATTTGCACAGAACAGGCCCCGAACAAGGTGGCGGGGCCCATGTGGCTAGTATTTTCCAGTCCCTCCTAGGACACAGAGGAGGGGGCTTTAGCGTGAGCAGGAAGTGTCATTGTCTGACTTTCTCTTGGCTTGCGTGGTGGCCAAGCGAGGGGCCCGGGGCATGGTAATGACCACCGCCAGTGTGCTTGAGGCCTCACTCGAGCCTCCCAGCAACGCTGCTGCCTGGTTGGGAGGGTGGGGGGTCCTTTGCCGGTCCTACTCTGTAGACCAGGAAAGAGGGAGCCCCCTAGGGGTAAAATGGTGAGTCTCAGGGCCGGTACCCCTTCCAGATCCTGACTCTGGAGCCTCCCCACTTTCCTCGGGAGCCTGGGCCCAGCACACCATAAGTGCACGGTGACTGGTAACTGTCACTGCTTCTGCATGACCTCCCCCTTCTGGTCTCGCGATCCCCATTAATGGTAACACCAGCCAAAACATACAAAGTGCTTACGGTGGGCCAGGCACCAAGTCTTTCAATTAAGTCCATTTAATCCTCCAAATAGTCCTGTAAGGCAGGTATTATCATTATACCTGTTTTCCAGATGCAGAACCTGAGGCATAGGGAGGTTGGACACCAGGTCCAAGGTCTCATTAGGACACAAATCCAGGTGGCTTGGGCCGGGCTCCACATGAAACGACCACTGTCTTCCTTCCAGTCAGCCTCGTAAGGAGCGGGGACCAGGGCAGGGGCTAAGTTCCTGTCTCTCAGTGATGTCACCTATACACCCGCAGGACCCAGGGCAGCCTCAGAGCCCCGGTGTCGGTGAAGTGCTCTCTGGTGTGCCCAGCGAGGGGGGCCTCAGAGCGGGCCCGACAGAGGGAGTAGGACCAGCCTTCCAGACGTGGGCAGACGGGGCACACCTGTGGAATCTCCCTGCCACGTTCGGGGAACCGCAAATGTGTGGATTTCATTTGTCCCTCCATCCTTTATGGAGACCATTTTGTCGTCGGTGTCCTTCCTCTGGACACAGTGTGGAGGGCGGGGCTTGGCCTTATTCTCCAGCTCAACTCCTGGCGCGTGCGTACTACTAGATGCTCAGAGAACAAGGAAGGAAGGAAGCCCACAAGAGAACGTTGGCACAGGAGGCAGGCGGTCATGGAGCACAGGTTGAGAACGGGTGTCCCGGTCTTCTCGGAAAGCAGATGGAAACGGTCCGGGATTAGCCGGGCCCTGGATTTGGAGTCAAGGGAGGGGAGGAGATCAGGAAAAAGAGGATCCAGCCGGCAGAGCGGTGGGCAGGGCAGAAGTTGAACTCATCGCGTGGCGTGTGTTCTTAGGGGGAAGCGTCAGAGGCCGAAACAAGACCTGGAAAAGATGATGTCTACACAGGAGGCTGTTCTTTGTTTATTCCTCTCCCACATCAGGAATGAGACCCCCTGGGGGTGACGGGACCATCGCCTTAGGTCGGAGTCCACGCCTGTATTACACTGGGTTAAGAGTCCGCAGGGGAAGGGGGAGGCCTGCTGCGGCCCTCAGCCCTGGCCTTCCCACCCCCACAGGGGGCCGCCGTGCTGACATTTACCATCATCGTATCCTTGCACCGCCCCCGCCCCCCCATGGTTTTTTTTTTTTTTTTTTTACCACCTTTTGCAAAGATAGAGTTAATTTTCCGCTCCTGGACTTCATCCAGTTGGACCCCATTGTGTAGATCGCTGCATCGGACGCTGAGTTTCGGGGATGGGCTCCCGCCGTGGTCTGTACAGACTTCTATCCTATGGCTACGCCGTGGCTTCTGTGGCCCCTCTGTGCTGTGGACGTGGCCTTGCTTACTTGCAACTTCCCGATGTCTCTGTGACAGTGCTGCTCCGACTACCACGGACCAGGCATCCTGGTGGCCCCGCATATTCAGGGCGCTGTGTCAGAGCACGGGACGGTGTGGGGTGTCGTCAGCCTCTGTGTCCCGAGTCGGGGACCTGCAGGGTGGCCACGGCGGCCGGGCTCAGGCGGGAGGGGCTGGGGAGGGGCGAAGGCAGCTCTCACCTGGGCACTGGCCTCCTTGCAGGCTGGCCGATCCTCCTCGGGGTGACCCGGGGTCCCAGCGGCTCTCCAGCTCTACTATTACCCTTCCCGAGAGCCCCGGTACCTGCTGATTCAGAAGAAGAAAAGAGCGAGTAACTGCCCAAACGGTAAGGCTCCACCGTGCAGAGGGGGGAGGCAGGCGTCTCACTCCAGAGTTGGGGTCCCTGAGCCCTTCCCCCTGCTCCCCTCCCCTAGCTGAAGGGCTGGAGTGGCTGGGGGCGACGTGGGCCAGATGGAGGAGATCGGCGGAGGGCAGGCGAAGGGCGAGCCGTCTCGTGCTGAAGCTGTTCCGCCACGAGTCCCCTCGCGGTCAGCAGGTCATCTCGTCATCATCGTCCTCATGGGCGATAGCAGCTGTCCCGAGGGGGTGAGCGATGCGGGGCGGGGGCAGGGCTGGGCAGGCGCTTTGCGTCGCTGGGGCCCCGAGCACCCCGCGCCAGCCTCTGAGGTACCTTCAGATCTACTACTCACAGCGGACCAGATCTACCTACATGCTGGCATGAGGGTGAAGAGAATGACGTCCAGTACGTGACAGTGGGCACGAGGCGTCTTATGCTGATGTCTGTGCCGTGAGTCCCGACAGCCACCAGGAACGAGGCATCTCACCTGGTGTGTGTGTTGGGGGGGGGGGGTCCTAGCTGAGAAGAGCCAGATCTGGTGGTGACGTGCCTCTTGGTCTCTCATCTCCGGGCCACTTGTCGAATGACAGCCTGTCTCTTGGAGGGGAGGCAGCTGTGCCCGCCCCAAAATAGAGCACCCCTGCCCTCCACTCTGGAAGCTTCATAGGTGGTGGCTCTTCCCCAATCTGTCCCATGTGTGGTTACTACCTGTGCCCTGCTGGGGCAGGCACGAGCAGGCAGGCACACAGCTGCCTCGGAAAAGGGGGTTTTGGGAGATGGTGAGGCTGAGACGACTTGCTTCCGCGGAGTGGCTCTGGCAGGGGTGCGGCCTCTGTCTAGCAGGGCTGCTGAGCCTCCCTGCTTGCCTCGCCCCCTCCCCTGCAGGTGTTCGTGGGGTGGTGGAGCTCTTGGGGCAGAAGGTTCCTGCTCCTTCTGGGTTTCTCCGTCTGCTTCACGGCCTGTTGTGTGCTGACGGCGGCTAACTTGCTTACGGAGGTGAGAAGGGGGGGGTGTGGTGGCGGCTGGGCGCCCAGTCGATCCCGGCTGAGCCCTGCTCACATGGTAAGGAAAGTGACCAACGATCTTTTCACCCAACTTCTGAATCAGACGCCTGCAAGCCATCTGCCCCTGGGGGCCCCTGGGAGCCTCCACGTCTAAGTAGCCCCACTGCCCGGAAGCCTGGGTGGCTCAGTCGGTTGGAGCGTCTGACTTAAAACTTGAGTCTCCTGCGGTCTATGGGTTCGGCCCAGCGTCAGGCTCTGTGCTGACAGCTCGGAGCCTGAGCCTGCCAGTCTGTGTCTGTCTCTTTCTCTCTGCTCTACCCGCTGAGTGCTCTGTCTCTCTCTCTCTCTCTCTCTCTCTCAAAAAAATGAATAAATGTTAAAAAAAAAAAAAAAAGATTTTTAAACAGCCGCTGCCCTTCGGTCGATTTCCCAGAGGCATCTGGGTGGCCTGACCTGCTGAGGGAAACCAGTGCCCTCTTGCCCAACCGGGCCACACAGCCCCACAGGGACCAAGATGCCCCCACCCAGGTCGTCTCTGCCCTGCCAGGTGTGATCAATGTCCTCTCCCCACAGGACACAATATCCTGGATGCCTTACGTCAGCATAAGCCTGCATCGCCATCGCCTAAATTGGGACTGTACGCCCATGGGCCCAGTATGTTCTCGACTGGCTCTCTCTTGGTTTTGTCTCCTCCTTTTCCTGAACCGAAACTTCTGGCAGGTCCCCTGGAGGCTCTTGGGGGAGCCTCATGCAGCCCCAGAATGGCCTCTCCTCCTGCCTTCCTGTGTCAGCAGGGGTTTGCTCAGGTTATTGATGAAGTGACGCACCCTAAGCGGCCTTAACCCTCTGGTTGAAACAGGCTACCCGTGGAATTGGCGTGGAGAGCCTTGCGGTGGTCCAATTTAGGGACATCACAGGATGTCACCTCTCTTGGGTGCCATATTCTTGCTGTTGGCCTTCTCGTGCTCAGCTATCCGCCCAGCCCAGGAGTCAGGAGACACCCCGCTCCGGGCCGGATGCCTCGGGCAGCCCCAGCAGGGCCTCGGGACCCATGGCAGGCTTGCTTCCAGAGAGACAGCTCCTCCCCTTCCCTCTGCCCCCCCAAGGCCCCATCCCAGCGGTGCTCATCCTGAGAACCTTCCTGCAGTCCTCCCGGCCGGCACTTCATGGTGGGGGCAGCGTGCGCAGCTCTCAACTGCGGTGGGCAGTCTTCCCGTTCTGTCCAAGTGAGTGCCAGCCTTACGCCTCCCCCTGCCCTGCAAATCCTCTCCGCAGCGGTTGGGAGAAAGCTTCTGGAGAAGGTGAGCCCCACTTGCCCTTCCCACAGGTGGGCCTCGGAGCCTACAGCTTCATCATTTTCGGCGTGATCTGTCTTCTCACGACCATCTACACCTTCCTGGTGGTCCCCGAGACCAAGGCCAAGACCTTCATAGAGATCAATCAGATTTTCACCAAGATGAATAAGGTGTCAGAGGTGCACCCGGAAAAAGAGGAACTGGAGGAATTTCCACCCTCTACTCGGGGGCAGTAACTTCGAGAAGGAAGGCACAGGCGGGTCTGTTTGACTTCCCTCGGGCTTTTGTCCCGGCCAATAATCATGAAGCGCGTCTTGAGGACTGGCGCCATCCGAGTGCGAATTTACATGCGTCTATCTCCGATGACCGCAGCCAGCGAGTCACGGGGAGCAGGCGCCCCTCGCCGCGCTGGGCTAGCCGTCAGGTCCTGATAACGCCGGCTCTCACGACAAAAATCATTAGTGTGGTGGCGGGATGGAAAAATCACATCTGGCCAGAGAAACACCTCTTCTGAAATCCATGGGTCTTCTGGGGACCGGAGGCCTGCGTTCAGGGGAATTCTTCCTCTTGCCCGATCCGTCTCCAGAAACGCCAGTCCTGGAAAGTGTGATGTCCGAGAAGCTGCGAAGCAGGTCCCTGTGGAGACTTCAATGGAGTCGGAGCTTGTTAATTCCGGATTATATTGCTGAAGGGCAGTGAATGGCATTGCCTCTGAATGCTCAATAAAACACATATGATCCCTTTTACCAAGACATGCTTCTTTCCTGTGAGCAGGTGGAAGAAGGCAGCGGGAGGGGTGTGGGGGCCGTGAGGGGGTCCCTGCTCCTTTGAGCAGTTCGATCTTGCTGGAGCGTCAGCCCCTTGAGAGCATGAGTTTGGCCACTCTTGCCTATCCCGGAATCCCGCTGCCTAGACCCGGCCTGGCGTCCAGGAGGCCCCCAGACAGTATTTGCTGGAAGGGGAGAAGCAGGAACTGAGATGGTGAGGCCACCTGTAGGATGTGAGATCTGCTCCCTGCTCCGGGGAGTTAGGGAGGCAGACCCGGGGCCGGCTGGGGGCAGTTGGGACGGGAGCAGCTTTTGTGGGGGGTGGAATGGGGATCCCTCAGGTGATGAGCTAAATAAATAACTTAGAGGAGAAGTAAACAGTTCGCTGCTGTGGTTGGACCACACTGTGTCCCTGTGCGGGGACCCGTAGCGTGGAAGGAGGCGCAGGAAACAGGGAATTTCTCGGCACTGAGGAGCGGTGCAGCCGGATGTGTGAATCAAGGAACCTCTAGCCTGGGGGAGGCTGGACCTCACATCCGTGGTCCTGCCGCTTAGTAATGGTGCAATGTGGGTACTTACTCAGCTTTTCTGTTCCTCAGCTTCCTCTTCCATTAAATGGAGCTAAGAACAAGTGTCTCACATGGCTATGGGATTGAAATAACAGGCGTGTGGTGCTTCGATCAGTGGCTGGCTTGTATTATCTCCGCAGTTATTTTTAAGTGCTTGGGAATGAGCGTTCATCTTGAGGACAAATAAACTCACAGGTAAAATGCGGCAAGAGACCACTCTTCATATACAACTGCGATTAAACAATTAAGTAAATGGATGGCAGGCGGTGGGAGGTTACAGATAAGCCAAGATAAGGAGTCTAGGATGATCCACGTGGTCATAAATGAGCGTTGGAGAAACTGGTATGAGGTCACGTTCAGTTTGCCATAAACACGATGGCTACAAATAGGAACACTTACAGACGCGTGTATTTACACGGGTTATAAAATACAGGAGGAGGGGTACCTGGGCGGCTCAGTCGGTTAAGCGCCCGACTTTGGCTCAGGTCATGATCTCGCAGTCTGTGAGTTCGAGCTCTGCGTCGGGCTCTGTGCTGACAGCTAACATCTTCTGTCCTGAAGATAACACAGGCGTGGGGTGATCACCGAGTCTGAGGGAGTTGTGTGGCAGTAATAAGGACCCGGTGAGCCTTCGGTAGGGGGGCCAGTTGGTAAGAAACAAGGGGGTCCCTGCAGAGCCAGCAGCAGTCAGGCCAAGATGCCAGGGAGAGTTCAGAGGGAGAGCTGTTGGATTTAGGGACCCTTGGCCCCCACAGTAAGGCACCTGGCCCCCTGCCGGCTTCCTGATGGGCCAGGAGTGAAGGGTGTGGGGAGGTTTGGGGAGAAGACATGTTGAGATGGAGGTGTTTTATGAAAAACCTAGAAGTGTCTAGAAGGATGTCAGCCATATGGCTCTGGAACTCAGGAGAGACCACATCCACATCGCTTTTATTACAGTATATCGACATGATTGTCCTTTATTATTGTGTTAATCAAATTAAACTTTATCATAGGTATGTATGCATGGGAGAAAACAGTGTCTCCAGGGTTCAGAGCTGTCCGCGATGTCCCTTGGGGTCTTGGAGTGGATCCCTTGGGGATAACGGGGCGACTGTATTTCTTGCTGTCTCCCTTCACAATTTCTGGTTGAGTGTGTGTGTTTTATCACATGACGTGTACGTATGCATAACTTATAAAAAATAAATATACATAACTGGAGGTTTGTGTTCAAAACTTAGTGACTGATGGGGGCGCCTGGGTGGCTCAGTCGGCTAAGCATCGGACTCCTGATTGATCTCACAGTTCGTGAGTTCGAGCCCCAGGTCGAGCTCTGCGCTGACAGTGCGGAGCCTGCCTGGGATTCTGGGACAGAGGGCTTGTGGGACAGAGTCTGAAATCCCACTCTGGAATGGGAGTGGGGCGGGGTTTTGCCATCTGAAAGTCTGTCCCCTTAAGGGCTGGCTCCTCGGTCCCCAGAGGAAGAGTGAAGAGATAAGGACCTGTGATCGTCACACCCTCATGTGTGCGGGGTTCGTCGTGGAATCATGGGGGACTCGGGTCTGTCACCCGCATCGGGCACAGCACAGTGACGCACACACGGCCTCATCTGTCTGCAAGGAATTTAGAGTCAGTCAGGAGGATGGAAACCACATTGCCCCGTGGTAAAAAGAGACAGAAGGGGAGACTGCTGCGTCTGGTTCTGAGTCTGCTGTGAGCCCTGTCTTAATCAGCTGAGCAGCCCCAGTGGCCCTTGCTGGCACTTAATGAATGTTGAATGAATGACTGTGGGCCAGAATCGTCTTCGGGGAAAAGGTAAACCATGGGCCGAGCCTTCAGGAACGGGTGAGGCTCGTACAGGAATCGAGGATAAGGCGCTTGGAAGGGTAGCAGGGAAGAGAGCTTTGTGCACATCGTGAATCGAAGACATTCACTCAGCAACTATTTGTTGAGCACCTACTGTGTGTCAGGCATTAGGTATAACGGATCTAATGGTCAAAAACATAAGTAAACAAATACTTAAAGTTATCGCAGGGAGTATTCAAGGTAAAGTTTGAGAGAGCGGCAGGTAAGGGGTGAGGGGTCCCCGAGGAGATGTCGCCAGGAGGTGACATTTGTCCCGTGGTCTGGAGGAAGGATGTTTCAAGCGCAAGGAATGGCATGGAAGGAGGCTGGTTTTGCCATCGACTTGACTTGACTTTGCCGCCGACTGAGTCGACTTGTGATTGGGGTCGACTCAGAGGAAGGGAAGGCACACGGAGTTTAACCCTTGTGATTAGACTGTGAGCACTGGGGCCAACCGGAAGAAGCATGCCCAAAGTACAATGTTCAACCAGCTGATAAAGCAGCCCTATCTGTCGGACTGGCACTCAAGTCTGTAGGGACTCACCGAAAGGTAACTTCGGTCAGCAGAATAACGCCCCCACAAACGTGTCCCTGTCCTAATCCCCAGGAACTGTGAATGCGGTATATGTTTACCTGGCAAAGGGAATTAAAACAGCAAAAGGAATTAAGGCCGCTAATCAGCCAACCCTGAGATGGGAGATTTTCTGAACGGTCCAAGAGGGATCCGTGTGATCACAGGGAAGAGGCAGAACCATGAAGACGGCAGCTTGAGACTCAGTCCAACGTCGTTGGCTTTGAAGATGGCGAAAGTGGCCATGAGCGGGGAGTCCCGGTGGCTTCTAGGAGCTGGAAAGGCAAAAAAACGGATATCCCCCTGGAGCCTCCGGAAGGGAACGCAGTCCGTGGCACCTTGACGTTAGCCCAGGGAGACCCACCTCAGATTTCTGACCTTCCAGAACTGGAAGGTAATACATCTGTGTTATTTTAAGCCGCTAGGTTTGTGGTGATTGGTTAGAGCAGCCGCAGGAAGCTGATGGGGACGGGCTGGGAGAATTCTGAGAAGCAGAACAGAAGTTAGTAGAAACTTGAATGTGTGTATTTCATTGCTCCCTGGGTGGCCCAGCTGTGCCCCCAACGGGAAAAGGCAAGTAAGTGCCACCCAAGGGAGAAACCAGAGTGTGATTCAAGGTCACTGAGGACAGACCACTGGCACAGCGGGCTCAGGTGGTACAAGAGAGGGTGGGGACAGCCTACAAGAGCCAGCCCTTGTCCTGCGTCCTTCCCCCCCTGGCCAGCGGACCCACCCGCAACCCTGGAGCACCGTGTGGCTGCGTGCACCCCCTTTCTGCCGTGGAAGGACCGCTCGCTCCCCCGGGGGGTCTAAAAGACAGACAGGTGGGGGCATCCACTTGAAGCAGAACAGGGGAACACAATGGGAGACGGAACAGGGAAAGCCATCCCCTCACCGCGGAATAAGCCTGGCCCAGGCTACCCGGGCTCTCCATGACTCGGTACGGAGTGTCCCGGGCCGCAGCCCAGCCAGCAGGGGTCACAGACACGTGCCTCTCCCAACAGATACCGACTCCGGGCCTTGGAAGGGACGCGGGGCGCCGCAGAGCAAACACAGCCCTTTACAGACCGTTCACAGCCACCTGAGCTGTCGCGAGCAGACCGTTAGGGTCTTGTCCCTGTGGTGCGCCCTCAGCACTGGTTCACCTGTGCACACCGGTGCCTTCTGCTTGGGTCGTTTCACACACACACACCGTATACAACGTGTTTCCACGTCCCTCTGGAATTTTCTTTTCTTTTAAACAATGCTTATTTATCTTAAATAATTTTTTTTAATGTTTATTTTTGAGAGAGAGAGACAGAATGCAAGCGGGGACGGGCCAGAGAGAGAGGGAGACACAGAACCTGAAGCAGGCTCCAG